TTAATGGAAGAACTTTTAAAACCGTTTCTATAACTGGTGAACGTTATGTTAAACTTTTGAGAAGGAAGGCTATTCCCATATTGCAGGACAGACAAGCACTAAGCGAAATAACATTCATGCAAGATGGAGGACCTCCTCATATCTACCGCGGTGCCAAACAATTGCTGAAGGATACGTTCGGAGAAGTTCGTGTGATAAGTGCCACTTTATACACCAGTGGCCTCCAAGATCACCAAGCTTGACGCCTTGCGATTTTTGGCTATGGGGGTACATTAAGTCACGTGTTTATCGATGCCGGCCTACCACATTGGCTATGTTGAAGGCTTCTATCAGACGGCACGTTTCATCAATTTAAACAGATATGTTATTTAATGCTGCCCAATCTGTTATCTATCGTGTGCAGTCGGTGTTTGAGAATGAAGGGCGCACATTGAGCAAGGATTGTGCCCTAATACAAGAGAGAAGGCAGTTACCTCATTTGTTATAAGCTGCCATGTATTATATCATCTACCAATATTTTGCAGGTCTTTGTGTTGGGTAATGGGGATAATAAATGCTGTCCTCATATCTTTTTTTTTTTTGTTTTTGTGAACAGAAATATTTTGTTTCGTCATTTGCTCACTTCTTATATTATCTCGTGCAGACCAAAGTGTTATAACTTCTCGAATAACACTGGTGCACACAATTTTACCCCTAATGTTTAGTTTATCGCTTTTCGCTCATTAGAAGAAATAGCATAAGGAATATTCTCTGTACACCCCTAACTTCAGAAATTTTGCGCAAAAAAAAAAAAGAATACAAAATGATTTCACTACCAAGTTATTCAACGCAAAAGGTTGATCGATAAATTATTTTTATTTGAGGGGACACATTTTTAAAATTTTGTACAGTATAATAAGCAATGATAACATTTGACAAGCCCATAGGATATTTGGAATAAAGTACGACAAATATATTTTGTCACCCCCTCTTTTTTTCATTTGTTGGATCATGACAAATCATGATGTAACGATGGGTATGTCAGACATATTATATGGTTGTAAACAATATATAGGTGTATGCGTGTATATGTGTGTATATATGTATATTTTTTAAATTTAATGATGTAACTGTAAATAAAATTCAAAGAATATCTCTATATGTAAATAACATTTTTTAATCTTTCTAAGTCGCTTTCTGTGTATCTTTCAATGTTGAATATTTTCTTTGTTATATTTGTATGTACATTTAGCGCAATTGTTCCTAGGGGGACATAGCGTTTTGAATTGAAATAAATAAATAAATGACAAATTTCCAGTTAAATAGTCAAGTGTCTCCAATTTGTCAAGAAACTATACATTTCTTATAGCAGGAAATACTATTAGTAGTGCCATCATAATTTTTGATACTTTATTAACATTTCAAAAAAACGTGTATTGATTTCAGTGAGGTTTTTCAAACATTCACAAAACCGTATCTAAAATATACCTTTTTTGCTACATGTTTTAATTTGTTTTTACCTATTTTACATATCTCGGATTGCATTTAAAAATCGTCATCCAATTCTTCTACTTTTGGCGAAATGATGTTTTATTAATATATCATTTGATATTATTAGGGTTCTTTCCTGATATTCAAAAAGGAAAAATACGTGTCGATCAGTTATATTTTTCAATTTATCAAACAATTTGGCCGCTGAATCTCTGATTCTGGTAAAGCGACATCTAGCGACAAAATTGTAACCAAAATAAATTTCGAATTTCTCATTATTTGCCCTAAAATTCCCATTGAATCCTTCATGTGATTTTTTTTACCTCATTGCAACAAAAAGAGTCAAAACGAGATGTATATGGGTGAAGGTATAACTATAAATTTGCAATGAAGTATAAAATTGTCTCTCGGGCTGGATATAATTCTATTATATTATTAGTTGAATAATTAAACCAACGATTGTTTTTTTTTTTTGCGAAAAACTCTATATAATCGACATTTCTATATTTCTGAAAAATATCGAAAGTTGTAACATCGAGTACAAGTTCAAAGAAGCTGATCTAACAAAGAATCGAATAAGCAACTTCTGATCAGAATCTATATCAAGTAGCCAAAATACAACAAGAATTGAAACCGACACAGTAGAACCTCCATGAGAGGACACTCATTCTAAAGGACACCTCTCTATAAAGGACAGCTTTCCTTTGCAAAAATGCCATTTTTACTATTAGAAATTCTATGGTAAGAGGACACCGCTCCCTAAAGGATAGTTTGGCTTTGCAATTAGGTGTCCTTTACAGGGAGGTTCTACTGTATATACAAAGTAATAAAAATAATATTTCCATCTGAGAGGTAAGTGAAGTTCTTCAATAAACGACTTCCTACGCAAGTTGGCGAAGAAAAACATCGATGAATTGGACAACAGTAATAAAAGCAAAAAATAAAAGCCAAGAATGTAGTTTTTGCTCAAAATGTTACAGATTGGAAGACCTGTTCACAGAAAAATTCCAAAACACGATCTCTGTAAATAAGCATATAATTAAGAGAGGCGCTAAAAATTTCTAGGATTCAAAAATTATGAAATAGGTTCAAAAAAAAAAAAAGAACTATTCTTATAGACTCAAAAAAAGATATCACTGAAAGAAGTAACAAGGCTTCAAGACTGAAGATATACAGTAGATAGCTTGCTACATTGGGTTTTACCGATACCATTGTGAAAAGATTTCATAGGTTATCAACGAAATATCTTATGAATATAGTAGTAATATGAAACCAAAAAACGAACAAAATATGAAAAATGAACTTCTTTATCAAATATTTTTTTTATGGAATCTTTCTGAACAACAAACCGAGTAAAACAATGTTTAAACCCACATGGTTTCAGGCACGGTCAATTTAACTGCTTCTTGAAGCCAAAGTACGTTAAGTGTTCTGAGGAGCACCACTCGAAGGACTGTCCAAGAAGGTCAAGACAACTTCCTCCAAAGTGTGCAAACTGCGGAAAAACTCACACGGCCAACTACCGCAGATGGCTAGATTTTTTAGAGTTCAACAAAACTTCACTTAATAACACAACTTAGATTTGCAACAAAACTGAAATTCTGCCAACAGCTATATAAGACCTGCATCAAAACTGTGTTGAGATTACAATATCCAAAACTGCTCGTTCCTACACTAAGGACCTGGTGAAATGTTGCTGCAATAATCAAGACATATCTACAATTGACTATAAACTTCCATTTAACAACGTCATATTTTGAATTATATTAAAGAAAGAAGAATTCATACATTTTCTAAAAGATAACTCGATTTCGTTATTCAGTGAAACCCAGCTAAAACACTCATTTGACCTTAAGCCAATAAACTAACAAGCTGTTAGGGCCGACCGAATAAAAGGAAAGGATAGGGGAACAGCTTTCATTATAAAATCCTCTTTTAAAAATAAAAATATAAACTCTCTCGATGTAGAAAAGAGTATAATTTTAATCAAACCATACAGGAAAGCGCTCTCACAAATATCTGAAATTTATAAGAAGCCTGATACGCCGCTCTTGGAAGTAGTCTTGAACTTACGCAGCACAACCACGTAATGGTATCTGTAATTCAGAAGCTGATTTGCCTTAAGAATGAATTTACAACCTCCAAATCCGAAAGAAGAAGAACTAACTGAGTTTTTAATAACGGATAAAAAATAAAACTCGCGAGGAAAATATGGCAAGCAACCTGGAATCCTATAAAGCTACTTACCTGAATCTTCTGATAAAGGTCAACCAAGCCCCTGAATCTGACTATTCTGAAAGTGAAATCATTACATACGCAAAGTTGAATCAAGTCCAAAGAACTAAAGGACTTATATAAAAACTCTATTACCATAGCCTGAATATAAATGGCAAAACTATGCTCACCGACAAAGAAATTGGAAATAGTCTTGCGGAATATTTTTCCAAATAATTTTCCAAGGTGGAGAATGAGGCTTCATATTTTATAAACGATACAGCACTAACTTATTCACCAAAATAAAATGACAACGTCAAATGAGGTGAATGAATTGACAATATTACGCCACGAAAATGACAAAAAAAAACTTTTCTATCAAATGGAAAGCTTTCCTCGTTGGGATCTTCATTGGTGCACTGTACTTGTGCTACTTCCTGAAGAAATGGAAACGTGTTATATTATTATAACCATTCTGAAAAAATCACCTGCCAAATGACCAGAAGATCTCAGACAATCAGCCTTCTCACCATCATCAGCAAGATATACGAGAGAATTGTTCTTCGTAGAGATTGCAGTCGTGCATGGATTCTGTTAAATTTCTCATTCTTCAACAATTTTACTCGATACTATAATAAACTATATCCGAGTAAAACGTCTCATAAGAAAGCAATATTCGATGGTTTTCGACCGCTACGACCGGGGATCGAATCCCGCATTGGGCACTTTTTTCTGATAAAAAAAAAGACTTAATGGCCACCAATTCTTGCAAAAGTCAAACCCCACCAGCGAGTGCAAGTAACCAAATGGGGCTCTGGAACATTTGTAAGTGAAAATTCGAACTGATTTTCACGTGTGTAAACATGTGGTGCATTTACAGTAAAAGAAGTCGCCAATTTCTACCCAACATGATTATCATGGCCTGTACCACGTGTACTCAGGATAAGCAAAAAAAGAAAGCAATGGGTGCTGTTTTCTAGCCCTTACTACAGGTTTTGATAGATTATGACATTATAGAAAAACCGAGAATTAATAAATTTTCACGTGAGACTTTGACATATTTTGAAAAATTGCTTCCAGGTAGAATCTTTTACCTTAAACAAGGTGATTTCATAACAAGAGCAAGGACAGATTGGAGTCGCTCATTCATCGGATTTTATCTATTCACATTTAACACCTATTCACAACATCAATGATTTCTCACAACATGCCTGTGTATTCCTTATTATTAATATTCTAATAAAATCATTTTTTCAATTAAATATTTTCTTCATATTTTTGTTTTTAAATAGAAAACAACGACAAAAAAAAAAAAAAGATCCCGAAACCGAACCAGGGACCTTTAGATCTTCATTCTAACGCTCTCCCAACTGAGCTATTTCGGCTTACTTTATGTAAAACTATCAAATAACTTTTACTTCATTGCAGCAAAAAAAAAAATCATAGAAAGAAGTTTGAAGGACGATGGCGTATGTGAAGAATTTATTTATTAGACTCCCAATAACACAACAGCCTTAGATCTCTATTATAATGTTCACCAGATTCACGCCTGTCGAATAAATGTGAAATTCTAAATTTTCTGCTAATCATAGAATAATAGACACTCTTCACCTCTTCGTACTTTTCGTTATGGAGCAACTCGTATGGTTATCCTGTAGTTAAAAATAACTATTATATATTGAATGCGCATTGAAGCAACTCCATGCACGAAAATAACATAGCTTGCTTTACTCTAGGAAATTCCTATTCTTGTAAGTGTAAAGAAACTGGTTATGCAGAGGAATGTGTTACCAAGCATTACATCGATGCACTGGGGTTGGTGAAGGGGTGGTCTAAACCGTTATTTTGCGACCTCTACGACCCGGGATCGAATCCCGCATTGAGCACTATTTTTTTTTTAATAAAAAAATGCTCCAATGGGCCCCGATTCTTTCAAAAGTCCAACCGCACCAGTGAGTGCAAGTAACCAAAACGGGGCTTTGGCACATTTGTAAGTGCAAAAGTCTAACTGCTTTTCACATGTGTAGATATGTGGTGCACTTTCATTAAAAGCAGTCGCCAACTTCTACCCACCATGATTATCATGGCCTGTACCACGTGTACTGGGGATAATAATTTAAAAAAACAATCTTTGAGTATATTCAATTTAGCGATAACATTAAGCACATAAAACCATCCTCTCTGTTTTGAACATCAAAATATGGGACGTGTTTCTAGAATAGGTAGGTAAAAACTTCTACGCACACCATAGTCACAGTTTTTTTTTTATAACCCAAGTATATATTGTACAGACCATGTCATTATGGGGGAATAACTAGCAACTGCTATTACTGTAAGTAGGAACACATAAACCCATGTAGAGTGAAGTTCTTTTACACTTATAGGATTCAAGAGCTCCATTTAAAGGATAAGTAAAAAAAAAAGAGCTCCATTTGGTTGCTGGCACTCACTGGTAGGGTTGAACTTTGGCAAGAATTGGAGGCCATTAAACCCGACAAAAAAGTGATCATTACGGGATTCGATCCCGGGTCATTGTTGTCGAAATTCTAGGGGGTGTACCACCCCTCTACCATAGCTATCATAGTATGATGCAACATTGATTTTCCATACCCTACCAAAGTTATTAAGAACATTTCCTTTGGAGGGGGGCCGCCTTAGTTTATATAAACGCAATTCGTACTGCTCTTGCTCAGAGTTACCCGCGCTTTAATAATAAAATATGCAGTAGAACCTCCATGAGAGGACACTCCCGCTAGAGGAAAATATCTCTATAAAGAACAGGTTTCATTGCAAAAAAAATCCATTTTTACTATTTAGAAACTCTCCGGTAAGAGGACACCTCTCCCTAAAGGACACTCTGGCTCTGCAACTAGGTGTCCTACACAGAGAGGTTCTACTGTACTAATAAAGTCTGATAGCAATTATAAAAATATTTAGCATTATGAAACATATTGTAGATATACATTGGTCCGCAAAATTAAAGGAACAACATATTTTTTTCATTTATCTCAAATTTTATCGAACATTTATCAATGAAATTTTATACACAAATTTATTATTCACTTATTGATTAGAATACCCGAAATCAAAGAATTCTAACACGTATTTTATGCAAATTAGCCGGTCAAACAATTATATTCTTGCAGTCAGTGCATAAATATCTTGGATATTGTTGCTAATATGGGGTGTGATCGCCTTTAACTGATAGACAGGCTCTACATCGGCAACCCATACTAAGAATTAGGGTGTTTATCAGCTCCTGTGGAATCAACGCCCACTCTTGTGTTAAGGCTGTTTCTAGCTCATGAGTGTTTCTAGGAGGGGGTTGGAGGGATGAGATCCGCCGTCCTAGGTGGTCCCAAACATGCTCAATGGGATTTAGGTCTGGAGATCGAGCTGGCCAATTCATCCGAGCAATTGCATGGTTTTGGAGAAAAGTGTCGACCACATCAGCCCTATGTGGACGGGCATTATCATCCATTAGAAGAAAGTTTTCTCCCATTTCAACTGATACAATACGCAGAAGGCTTCACATGAAGGGCCTCTATGCTCGACGACCCATAATTTGTGTGCCGTTGACACCACCTCAAAAGAGAGCAAGGGAACTTTGGCGCAGACAACATGTCGCCTGGAATCCAGATGAATGGAGGCGTGTAATGTTCACTGATGAGTCCAGATTCTCTCTAAACAGCTATTATCGTCGTGTCTTTGTCAGGAGAGAGGTAGGAACCAGAAATAATCCCCGAAATATGGTTGAAAGGGATCCCTACAGAAGCCAATATTTTATGGTCTGGGCTGGAATCTTCTTGGGCGGTCGCACAGCACTCCATATTTTTCGGCAAGGAACCCTGACTGAACAGAGGTATCGGGACGAGATCTTGGCAGCATATGTGATGCCTCAAGCATTGGAAATAGGAGAAAACTTTCTTCTAATGGATGATAATGCCCGTCCACATAGGGCTGGTGTGGACGACACTTTTCTCCAAAACCATGCAATTGCTCGGATGAATTGGCCAGCTCGATCCCCAGACCTAAATCCCATTGAACATGTATGGGACAACCTAGGACGGCGGATCTCATCCTTCCAACCCCTCCTAGAAACACTCATGAGCTAGAAACAGCCTGAACACAAGAGTGGGCGTTGATTCCACAGGAGCTGATAAACTCCCTAATTCTTAGTATGGGTCACCGATGTAGAGCTTGTCTATCAGTTAAAGGCGATCACACCCCATATTAACAACAATATCCAAGATATTTATGCACTGACTGCAAGAAGATCATTGCTTGACCGGCTAATTTGCATAAAATACGTGTTAGAATTCTTCAATAATGGAATAATAAATTTGTGTATGAAATTTCATTGATAAATAAATGTTCGATAAAATTTGAGATAAATGAAAAAAATATGTTGTTCCTTTAATTTTGCGGACCAGTGTAGATACCAAATTTCGTAGTCTCTGGTCGGATTTGTTGCTATTAAAGAGATATTATTTTAGATGCGAATACTTAAGAGTTTTAAAAACTAGCGGTCATTATGGTGTTAATGTTATATATATTGTTGCGCCAGGTTGCGGCTTGGCAGACTCTTCAGCCTTGATTCTCTCCTGTGCTGGGTCTTGCATCTTACCAGAGCGTGTTTCAACCATCCTACAAATTTATATAAGGGAATAATTAGATAAGTCTACTTTAAGTAGCCTCCAGGATAATTTATTTATTTCCTTCCATCAAAGAGAGCAGTGAAGTCACACGTGTACCTAAATACAAATGATGATAATCTAAATAATCTGTTTTAAATAAATATCATAGAATATTTTATATAAAAAATAAATAAATATATAATTTAAATTTCAAATATATCAAAAATAATATAATAAATACGCCATTAATCATGATGTAACACTTCCCCCTCTCCAGAGGTCGTCACGTCCTCGTGATTGACCTCATCAATTCTTTCAAAATAGGGTTTGATTCTTGAGACATGGACAATCAATGGGTCTTGGCTAGGATTATCTTTTGGTTCAATCAAGTAATTTACGTTGGACAGCTTCTTTAATATTCTATATGGGCCAAAATATTTTCTCAGTAGTTTCTCACACTTTCCTATTTTCCTAATTGGTATCCAAACTGCTACTAATTCTCCTGGTTCGTAGCTTCTTTCCATTTGTTTCTTGTCATAGTTCTTTTTCATTCTTTCTTGAGTCTTTATTGTGTTGTTAATAACTAATTTTCTTGTTCTGTTTATTTTGTCTAAGTGATGTTTTATGTATTCATCATAATCATCCTTGTCAATGTCCACCGAGATATTCCTGTCGTCCAAAAGAGACGTGGGTTCTCTTCCAAACATCAGGAAAAAGGGAGAATATCCTGTGGTTTCCTGAATTGTAGTATTGTAAGCGCGAGTGATGAATGGGAGTATTTCGTCCCAATTCTTCTGATTAGTGTTCACATACATACTGAGCATATTGATCAATGGCCTATTTAACCGCTCTGTCAATCCATTAGTCTGGGGATGATAGCTCGTTGTGAAGCAATGTTTAATCTTGCACGTTTTCATCATCTCTTTCATTAAATTACTGGTAAATTGAGAGCCTCTGTCACTAATAAGATATTGTGGGGCTCCGTGCCGGAGAAAAATATCCTCTACTAGAAATTTAGAAACTTCTTTCACTGTTGCTTCCGAGACTGCTCTTGTTTCTGCATATCTAGTGTAGTAGTCCGTCAGCACGATTATCCATTTTTTCCTGTTTTTCGTAGATGGCAGTGGACCAACAAAGTCAATTCCAATTCTTTCGAAAGGAAAGTTGGCTGGGGGGATGGGCTGTAGTAGTCCAGAAGGTAATTGGTTTGAGCCTTTCCTACTTTGGCAAAGGTGACACGTCTTAACGAATTCTGAGACATCCTTTAGCATGGATGGCCAAAAGTATTTACTCTTTATTCGGTACATGGTTCTGGCGATGCCCAGATGGCCATTCGACATATGATTGTGATATTCTTTCATAATTTCTCTCTTTTTCTTCTCTGGAACCACAAGCAACCACGCCCTGCCTTCAGGGTTCGGGTTTTTCTTAAAGAGGCATCCATCTTCTTCTTTAAAGTTTTGCGCAATTGATCGCCTGCTTCCATTAAGGTTTTTCTTAACACTTTCGATAAATTTATCCTCTTTGTCTGTTATTTGATTTAAAATTAGCCTTTCAAAATCCTCATCCCAATCAGTTTCTGGTAAGGGACCCCTAGATAAGCCATCGGCGTCCAGATGCTTCTTTCCCGATTTATGTATTATATCGAAGTCATATTCTTGAATTTTCAACGCCCATCTTGCCAATCGACCTGTTGGATCCTTCAAGTTTTTGAGCCAGCATAAGGCGTGATGGTCTGTTACTAT